ACAGCCAACCGGGGGGGACCGGCCGGTAGGACCGGTCTGGTTCCGGTTGGGGGAGGACCCCCCGGTCCTACCGGGTTTTCAGCACTGGTTGATACTGGGTTCAGACTATCATCGTTTCAATGTTGCTTGGATGTGATCTACTCGTCTTTCCTTTATGACTGGTTGTGAGGATTGAGTGAAGTGAATTGCACTTTCAGTGTACCCTGTCATATCGCATGGTCAAGTCTTCCGCTGTGTTCATCTCTCCATGTGCGGTGTGATACTTCTATCCTCTCCCCTTCCTTTTGTGTATGTATGGGCATACCTGGGAGTCTATGTGAGTGAGTGTTGGCCTTCAGGCAATAGACAACCAGAATCATAACACCATGCCCACAATTTCTGATGCCAACATTGGCCGCCCAAGTATATAATGCCAGAAGATCATATTAGGCAACATGCTCCCCTCTGAAATAACTTCTTCTTTCTTTAACTTCATGCAAAGAGCTGAATGCCAAGGTAATAATGGGAAAAAGTCTTAGAGGAGAGTTACCGACCTGACCTCCATCCTCTGTTGAAAGGGAGATTATGAGAGGACGCATGTCCCGGAGTGACAGAAAGTACAGATCAAATGTGTCCGTGTTTGGCCTTGGTTGCAAATCAACTTGGAAGTTCTCGTTCAGCCACAACATCACCCTCGGTATTCGCTCATTCACTGGAAATCTCAGACTTGAAATCGGGTCCATGACGTCCATCTCCAGACGCTGATAATGTCACAAATAGATGTTTTTTAATGACTCCCTCCATTGTATGTGGCAGACAGAGGAATAAAAGTGAGAAAAAGCAAATGAAAAGAATAATAAGAAGTCAAAAAAAAAAAAACATCAACGGGTGTAGATCAATTGGTTGGTACGTACATTTGTAAAATGTAGAATATAGATGTAAGCTCGAATCCAGATGGCACTACCATCTTCACCCGAATATAACGCCGGGTTATTATAGCTGTATTTGGCACAACTTTCCGCCCAGATACGACGATAATTATTGGGTGTTCTATTCGGGTGAAGACGGTAGTTGAAATGAATTTTTAAATTACCTAGGGCTGATTAGTTCCAATATTGTACCCAAAGACTATCACCTTTTTTTTTTTTTTTTTTAAGAAATCGAAAGTACACCAACGAACTGGCCTAGCTCAATTGGTACACCCATGAACTATTGAAACACATACCCTAGTTCGAATCCAGATGCAGAGGGAATGGGGTGTTGTAAGAAGTAAAGTGACCTTGCTGTCACAATCTGTTGAGATTCGGCTCTTTGTTCCAAAAATTGAAAAAAAAGAAAAAGAAAAAAAAAAAGGTTCCCGAGCCAAAAAGCTAGATTACCACTTATCGTTTTAAACGCCGCGACACACCTGTAATGATAATGCACACACATCTCTGATAATCCACTTGCTATGGATGTCAAAAGGCATTACGTAATTGATCGGGGCCTCTGCCCCTCGGTCCTTGATAGAGAGAAGGATAACAACAATCGTATTTTTCATCACCACTTCAATACACCCTTCACCATTTCAGGATGCAGCCTGCCTAAACAGGTGGTTTTCAGGGTCTTCGAACCTTTCACCACTTCAGGACACCCTTCACCACTTCAGGATGCAGCCTGCCTAAACAGGTGGTTTTCAGGGTCTTCGGACCTTTCACCATTTCAGGACCATTCAGGATTTTCAGACTACCCAAACTTTCACTTCACCACTTCAGGATGCAGCCTGCCTAAACAGGTGGTTTTCAGGGTCTTCGAACCTTTCACCACTTCAGGACCATTCAGGATTTTTCATAATGCCCAAAACTCTCACTTCATAATTTTCATTCCTGAATTTTCAGCTACTCGTTAACCGTTTGTGCCTTGATATGGAGTCGTTGCGGGGTTGTCTCGCTCCCCTGTACTTGGGGGCGGCCTGCGGCATTTAGGTCTCCACATGTTTGGTGGATGACACTTGATTGCTGGAGTGCAAATTGCTGATTGCAACACCGTTGACGACGACTTGTCCGACTTCTGGGTGGCCAGATGCAGCCTGAAGTGCCCTGTGGCGAGATTTTAACGATTCATGGGTGCTTTGAAGATATGATCTTGCTTGCTACGATGACGCTGATGATTGCTTCGGCTTTGCAGGTTTGTGTGTTTTCGCTTGTGTTAGGGTTTGATATTCCCTGTAGGAGTTTTTCTTTTAACTTCGTTTTTTGTTGATCGCTTGTTTAGCTTATAGGAGTGTTTCATTTGCGTTTGCATTTTCGTTTTAATTTGTCTTGTTGGGATTTTTCCATGGCAACCGGCCGGACGTCTGGACCGGAATACAGACTATCCGGTTGTCTGGGTATGGGTCCGGTGTCTGGTCCGGTAGGTCTGGATTGGGCCCAATTTTAAGAAATTCGATTTTTTTTTTGGGGGGGGGGGGGGG